GTTTGCTCATTTCTGCCATTTGCTACAGAAAAAAATGCTTGATTCAGCTTGTTTTTCAAACTGGTCTTTAATGCTGGAAGACAAAGAAGACAGAGGTGGTGGGTTTTTTTTTGACAGATCATTTCCCAGAAGGCTCAAGAAATACATCTTTGATCCTAAGCAGTTCTCTCTATACCAATTGCATTATCTAAATTATGTACGCTTACCTTATCTATTGCCACTGGGGTCCCATATGATGTGTTGCTCAAATGTGACAAATGCCTGCCTCCATCGTCATCATGTGCATTCAGAAACAGATATTGGAAAGTTACTGTTGTTCTCTGCATTTTGTGTCCTGTTGTCTTAGGCTGGAACAACTGAGTGGTTTCAGATGAAGAAGCAACAGCTGAAGCCAATGGTGAAGGTAAGCAAAGCCTTTTCCCAGTCCCAATTGCATTATCTAAATGATGTACACTTACCTTATCTATTGCTGTTATCAGCCACTGGGGTCCCGTATGATGTGTTGCTCAAATGTGACAAATGCCTGCCTCCATTGGCATCATGTGCATTCAGAAACAGATATTGGAAAGTTACTGTTGTTCTCTGCATTTTGTGTCCTGTTGTCATAGGCTGGAACAACTGAGTGGTTTCAGATGAAGAAGCAACAGCTGAAGCCAATGGTGAAGGTAAGCAAAGCCTTTTCCCAGTCTGGCAGAGGGAATCACATAGGAGGTGGCTGGATTCTGCATCTCACAGATTCTAAAATTAATTTTGCATCCTCAGCCTAGGTGTTTGCTAGACTTCTGCTACTCCAGCCGAGAAACAGATACCTAAAACCCAGTTGGGAGTCTCAATTAGAATAATCCATTGAATTACATAAGTCAACACTGATGTAAACCTTATTGGTTCAGTGAATCTACTCTAGTTGGGACTCCCTGTGGGATCAAGGCCAGTCAAAGGAGGGGTGTGTGTCATATGGTGTGTGCTTTGTCAATACAAGAACAAGCTTTCCCCAAAGAAGCCGTTGTACATGCAGACGGAATCTGGACAATTGTAAATACAGTTGTCAGCATCTTCCATAAATATTAAGTCAGTTTTCCCTGCAACTATCAAAAATAGTGCCACCGTCCTTATAGTCTGAGTTAGCCTAGACTGGAGCAGACAATTTTGGCAGAACCAGGTGCAGGTGCAGGTGCAGGTGCAGGTGCAGGTGTGTGTGTGTGTGTGTGTGTGTGTGTGTGTGTTTGTCCCCTACACTCTGCAGAGGTTGCCTAGCCTGTCAAAAAAATGCAAAGCATGAAACCAGAAATGGCTAAAAATCCACTTCTAGTTTTGAAAAAATTGGTGTGTTCTGATAAATGGGACCGATGACAAAATTAAAATGTGATTCACCTTTTTCGTTGAAAAGCAGGGGAAGATTGAGGACTGAAAAGCAGTCCAGGGGGACAGGTGTCACTCTTGGTCCACCTTTATACCTTATTTGGGCCTTCCGGATGTTTTGGTCTACCATTCTCATGAAACTCTACCTAGGATAACCGATAGAAACAGATTGTAGTGTATGACATTCAAAATATCTGGGAGGCCAGAAATGCTCTGCCCTGAATGAAACACCAGGTTAAAACTGTCCAAGGCACTCATCTGGATGACGTCTCTTGGGTCTTTACTTGATTAGAAAGGGCTCTTTGTTATTGTTTTGCTGTTGTTTATATCTCTGACCCCTGGAATTCCTCAGATTTTTCTCTTTGTTATTGTTTTGCTGTTTTTATATCTCTGACCTCTGGAATTCCTCAGATTTTCCTGACATTGTACATCCATTGTCACCAGCTATTTTTTTTTTAATGAAAGGGCTACCTAGATCATTAGAAGGAAGGAAAGTCTGAGGGCCTTCCCCATCCTTTCCCCAAAGTAGACTCCTGGCCAGTCCCAGTGCCACAGCCCTCACCTCCTTTACGAGACCCTCTTGCCCTTCACATGGCAATTCTGAGGACTCAGCTTGGTGGGGTTGGACCAAGTGTGGTGTATTTCACCCTGTCCCCTTTTTCCAGTCTCAACGCTTCCCTGCTCTCTCATTTTCCCAAAAAAGAAAAAGAGAGGCGGAAAAAAAGAAAAAGACAAAAATACTTTTTTTTCCAAAACTGGAAGTGGAATTTTTAGCCATTTCACTCTCCCCCTCCCCCAGAGAATGTACCTGGGAAAGCCTCTTGAGCTTGAGTCAAAGCATACTGTGTAATCTCACCTTCCCCAAACCATACGGTAGCTCTCCATATGTTTTAGAGTTCTCTTCCTATGGTTCCTCACCAGAGGCCATGCTAGGTTAACTGGAACTGATGGGAGTTGCAGTCCAAAATATCGCAGGTGCCAGCTTCTTTTTTGGGGGGGTGTCTGATGGAAAATGCTGCTGAGTTGCTCCTGGACATATAGTTTAGCACTAGAGCCCACTGCATCCATAATGGGACCAAAGCAATGGTTAGATGCAAGACTAAGACATGGCATCTTCTTGTTTTTGAAGTGTTGCTAAGAATCCCTAAAATCTGAATTGCCACAGAGAAATTAATAAGTCTGGAAGGTGCCTGAGTGTTGGAACCAAGTAGTATGACAAAGGCCAACACAGGCCCCTTCCCTCTTCTTCCCCCACCTTTGCAGACTATGGAGGAGTGTGGGAAGGCTCTGGTCACCCTTCTTGTGGAGGTCAATGCGGATCTTCAGCAATGCCACAAAACCTGGAACACATATTTCCTCAGGTAAGTCTTTGGAAGAAGACTACACACACACACACAGAGAGAGAGAGAGAGAGAGAGAGAGAGAGACAGACAGACAGACACACACACACACACAGACACACACACACACACACACACACAGAGTGGAAAACAAGTTCACTTCTTGGGTGGACAAGGCTTCTGTCGGTTGGAGAAGCCAATGCCTGCTATGGTTGCTAGTTTGTTCCAGAAGAATAAGCTTTGGCTTCTTTGGGCCTTCAAGATGTTTTGGTCTACCGTTCCCATGAACTCCTACCTAGGCCAATCGAAACGGACTATGTTCCAGCCAAAACATCTGGAAATCCAGAAATGCCCTATCCCTGAATGAAAGACCAGGTTAAAACTGTCCAGGGCAATCATATGGATGACCTCACCGGTATATTTACTTTACTAGAAAGGGCTCTTTGTCGTTGTTTTGCTGTTGTTTATATCTCTGACCTCTGGAATTCCTCAGATTTTCTTGACATTGTACATCCATGTCACCAGCTTTTTTTAAATGAGCGCTACCTGGATCATTAGAAGGAAGGAAAGTCGGAGGGCCCTCCCCATCCTTCCCCCAAAGTGGACTCCTGGCCAGTCCCAATGCCACAGCCCTCACCTCCTTTATGAGGTCCTCTTGCCCTTCACATGGCAATTTTGAGGACCCAGCTTGGGACACTAATAGGGCGAGTGGCTAGATGACAACCTGGCTATTAGGTTGCAGATCTGCACTGTCTATTCCGTGCTGAAGGGCCTGAGCGAGATCTTTCAGTAAACAAGTGGGTGAGAGAAACTGCTTTGCCTGGCCAATTTCTGATTCCCTTTCTCCCTCTCCTTCCTGTGCAGTGCCCTGAGAGTGGATCTCTTCTCAATTGCGTATCTTGAAATGCAGGAGCAGGTGAGTAGCTGCCACATATTCCCAATCCTGGTTGTCACAGAAACTCTGGGATTGACCTGGCCATCTTAATGTATGGTCAGTATGAGTTTTCTATTAATGATGAAGATTATCCCTGAGACATGTGGACGCTTCGCATCCAGCCCATCAGCTAGCGCTCCTGTCGGTGTTAATGGCAGATTTTAGTACAGAGCTGCTGTTGAGCCTTCTGGTTTGTATGAAGCTATTTAGGGGGACATGATATGATATTTCACACTGGCTGGATCTGGACTGATTTTTAAAAGAAGACAAGAAAGTAAATACAGTGAGAAATAAGCCTTGCAACAGTTGGGGTGAGCAAGCTGCTTTGGAGGATCATACCATAAATGCACGACATTCTTAAAATCAGCATCCTCTTAAATGGCACCCTCTACATGTGCTTGGACCACAGATCTCCTCATCCCCCAGCCATCCAGCTGTGGATGATGGAAGTTGTAGTCTAAGTACATGTAGAGGGCACCAGTTACTTCAGAGAAGTGGGTTTAAGTTCTTCTGTATTAAAAAAATGCCATTTCACTCCCTTTGCCTGTTGTGGACTGGATCAATGACCTTGGACGATGTCCAGCATGGTTGTCCATAGGAAAGGTTTCTAAGGAGTGTGTGTGTGTGGGGGGGGCAACACTAGGTTGTGGTATGTGAGTATAACTTGGTAGCATGCACTGTTGCAATACACCTGTGCATTTCCTTTGCATATGTGCACAAAGGCTTTGATAGTTCGTGTCATGTTCAATAATATCTGGAACACCTTTGAACTATGGGAGCCAAAGCTGCAAAATGTGGAATTTGAGACCACTAATGCAGAACATGAGAGATACCATGAACCTCTAACAAAAGGTTAACATGGATAGCTTCAGCCCATGTGGCCTTGACCAAATAGGAAATGAAAGACTGCTTGTGGATTCCCCTCCGCCCGCCCGTGGTCCACTGTGGTTCTTGCTATCCTGCTCTTGTAGGTTTCCTGTTACCTCAAGGAGCAGCTGAACAAAATGGACAGTGGCATATCTCAGCTCACAGCAGAAAGCCTTTTCCAGCTCTACCTCAGCCTGAAGGAACTCTATTCCCTGAGGGACTTTGTGAGCCACAGGTACTGACCGCTCCACAGAACAAAGATTTGTCTTTGGGCAAATAGTTTTAGAGCTATTTTATAGATTATGATCCCCATGTTTAAGCTGTATTGACATCTTGCTGAATATGAGTCAATGGTGCAATGTGGCTGCAGAGAAAGGCAAGTGCTGTTTGAGGCTGTATTAACAGAAGCATAGTCTCCAAATCCCTTGAAGTACTATTTCCCCTCTGTTCGGCACTGGTTAGGCCTCATCTTGAGTACCGTGACCAGTTCTAGATGCTGCACTTCAAGAAGGATGCCAATAAACTGGAACAAACTCAGAGGAGGACAGCAAAGATGATCGGGGGACTAGAAATCAAGCACTTGAAGGAAAGACTGAAATAATTGGGCATGTTTAGTTTTGAGGGGAGATATGATAGCACTCTTGAAATACTTGAAAGATTGCCATACAGAGGATGGGCAGGATGTGTTCTCAGTCACCCCAAAGTTCAGGCGACGTATTAAGGGGCTCAAGTTACAGGAAGCCAGATTTCAGTCAAATATCAGGAAAAACCTCCTGTTAGAGCAATCTGACAATGGAATCACTTACCTTGGGGGGGAGGCCGGTAGAGATGGGGGTATTTGTATACAAAACCCCCCACAGATGGAAATTAACTCACCATTCCACTGTGGACGTGAGTTCAATGGAGCCTTCCTATAGTGCCATTGTCCACAATGGATTAGCCATTCTGCGATCTGGTAGAGAGGCTTGTCATCCTGCCTCCTGACAGGAGTGGCAAATCCACTGCGGACAACTGTGCAATAGGAAGGCTCCGTCGAGCGTGCATCTGCGGCAGAATGGTGAGTGGACAGTCCAGCCCATTGGGGCCAGACACTCATTGTTTCCACCTGTGGGGGATATTTGTATTCATATACAAATATGAATAGCCCCATCTCTAGTGGTGAGCACTCTAATGCCAGAGGCATTCTAGAGAAAATCAGGCAGTCCTCTGTCAGATATATTATTTGAATTCCTGCCTCGAGAAGGGGGTTGGACTTGATGGCTTTATAGGCCCCTTCTGACTCCATTATTCTATAATTTGATATGGCCAGTCCCTAAAACAAATAATAGATCAGATGGCTTGAGTAGTGCAAACAGGAGATTTAGTTCTTGCCATGCTGTCAAAAGGCGACTTCCCTTTTGTGCTTCCAGGGAAGGACCACTTGCATTAGCAAACTTCCACCAGTGGTTTCAGGAGGTCATCCCCAAATGGCTCCAGAAGACTTACACGATAGCCCTAGAAAGGACTCAGAGGGCTGTCCAAGTAGACCAGGTAAGGAATCCCCAGCAAGAGAGGAGAAAAGGTCTATACTGCTTGTTTTCCCCCTTTTCCCTTCTGAGACTTTTCTGCAATTGATCCGGACCTTTGATCCCTGTCATGTTTCTCCCTGACTCCACTTACTCCTTATTCTGCTTGTTATGTTGCAAGGAAGCTTTGGGTTGTGCTGCTGAGGAAAAATCTTTGCAGAAGAAGAAATATGCTGAGCAAGAATGAGAAAATATAACCATGTTTACTTAAAATGTGTTGCCGTGGTTGGTGGGTTCACTCATGTCAAAAACTATCATGAGGACTCTCTGATTTCATGACAATTCCAAAATGCTTTCTAGCATTTTGCTATTTAATAACAAGAACCTTCAGCATGAAAAGTTGTATTTTCCTACGTACATAAAGTACGCTGGAACACTGATAGCTGCTCACCTTGGGCTAAGGATACTGAAGTAGGTGGAATATTCCAGATCAACTGTGAAGAGGTTCAGAAACTGAGGTGTGAAAATTTAGTTGTCTTTCTTGGAGATTCAGACTCCAAAGTGAATCTTTTGTTGCTTGTTTCTTATCTTATCTTGGCCCAAATTTCTTTATTTAGTTAGGCTGGTGTAGCGCAAATAGTGTGACTTTTGGAGGAGAATTACCCCAAGTTAAGAGATCACTGCAGACATTATCAGTTGTGTACTAAATTGTGCGACTCAGCAGGCAAATATTAGTGTCTACAGAGATTTCTTAACTTGGGGCAACTTGCTGCTGAAAATTAGGTCATTTGTGTAACTATACAATAGGATTTTGGCTATTACATGGTTTATGCCTGTATACAGTATATGCTCTTCTTTTCCTTTCTGCTCAGCTGATACCAGTGGGAGAGCTGAATAAGCACAGTACGTCTACTGTGGACTTATCCACTTGCTATGCTCAAATGGTAAAGACCTGGCAGCAGCTGGACTGGCCAGATCCTGAAGAGGCCTTCATGATCATGGTGAAATTTGTTGAGGTGCGTCAAGGAGGATGGATAAATCTGTTTATTTCCCATTTGGGTCACTTCCCTTTCTCTTCATTCTCTGAAAAGAACTGTTGCATATTCTGTCCAGATTATGCAAACAACAGAGTGAGCAGTTTCTACAGGTCTCATAAAAACATTTGGAATGAGGAGTTTCACTTGCCCTGCCCTTTAGGGCTAAGCAGGATGGATTTCCTATTTCTCCAAATTGCCAAGTTCAGCCAGAGTTGAAGACAGGAAGAACTCAATTGCCAAGAACTAAGAAATAGTTATCTATAGAGCAAGCGTACCCATTTGGTTTTGAGTTCAGGTTAAGGGTTTGAATCTTTTACTATACAGTAATTTGATCCCAGGAAGCAACCTCTTCTCAGTTAAGGTTAGCTAGTAACCCCCTGGTGGGAGACCCCCCCCCTCCTCTGTGACACAAGGGCATCTTTTGGCCCCAAGGTTTTGGACTGCTGCTGCTGCTGTTACAGATCATCAAGTTGCTTTCAACATATGGCAATCCTGATAGGATTTTCAAGATACGCAAGATGTTTAAGGAATGATGTCGCAGGTGCCAACCCCCTCCCGTAGAATTTCCTGAGTCCTAGTCTTGTATTTTATCCCCTATAGCACACTGGCTTTCAGGTTGACCACCACTTCTATAATCCCTTACCATTGGCCACCCTAGCTTCTGGGAGTTAAGATACTGAGATACTCCACTAGGATGAAATGTGAGAGAGGGTCCAGTAGCAGCCCATGAGGCTACAGGGCCTACAGCAGAAAGACCCCAACCCCTGAAGCTGGCTCTCCCACTCAATCATGTCCTGCATGGAGGAGGAGGTCAAGAGATTCATTCCAAGTCACACAAGGTAAAATTGGGTTGGCCGCAGACCAAAGAGGATCCTCAAGCTTTCCGGTTTCTGACTTCTCAGGATATCTGTAAAATCTCTCTCATGTACTGCCGGCTGATCAAGAACAGGGCGGAGGAGTTGTCACCAAACCAGCGCGAAGAAGGAGAAGCTGCGAACAGGGTAAGTGGCGGAGCCAGTCCCAGTCCACAGGTTGGAGGAATCGTGGAGATGGGTCGTCCACGTCAGCAGGGCTAGGGAGTGTCCCCTTTTTTGAAACGCCCGCTTCCTGAATCTTCTCAGCAGCATTGCCAGTGGCTGCCTGGGAGGTTATGGGAGTCCAAAGGAGTAACTTTCCCAAGCTCAAGATAGGTGCTCTGGATGGGGAACTGCCTTCCTTGCCAGAAAGAAAGAAAAAGATCTTTCAACATGAATTGCTGAGAGTGGGGAACTTTTCCCATTTGCTTTACAGGGGTGTTTCACACATGGCTTTCTTCCCTCCCTCCCTCCCTCCCTCCATCCATCCTTCCTTCCCCTCAGTTGTGCGTTGTGGTCAACAACATCGAGCAGCTTCACATGATGATCCTCAAGTTGCCCTCGCAGCTGGACTGGGCAGGCCTAGAGCAGAAGGTTGGACAAGTCATTGCCCCGGAACAGATCCAGCACACCCTCCACCACCAGCTTGAGGCCACCGTCATCTCTCTTAACAATGAGATCCGAAGTGTGGTCCAGACCCTGGCAATCAAAGTAACTGCACAGCCCAGGCACTTCCCCCTTTCCGCTCTTGACTGTTTGAATGTGTGTGTGTGGTCAGTGCTGTCAGAATTACAAAATGGGGGGTGGGGGTAGCACAATAGCAAGGGAAAACTTCAGGGGCCCCTCTTTGTCCAAAGCAGAATATAATGTATAGGAGACCAAATATATTTGCCTTGGCAGAGTTGACACCAAAGTTTCTAGTGCATATCTTGGAAACGCTTCCCCCCACTTTTGATTACAGCTTCCAGAATCCACCAGACTGTGTAGTTCTCCTGGAAGTTGTACTTCATAAAAGAAAAATCTCCAAGCTCTCCCTCACTGTTGCACTCTTGGTTGCTGTTCCGGGGATACCTACTGTTCTGTCAGTCAGTAAAGGCTTCTTCAAGGAGACTCCATTGTATTCCCCTCCTTACCTGTTCCTGAACAGGTGCAGTGGTCTCTCAAGACTTGAGCATGCCAGGTTTTCAGTGGGTTTTTACTGGGTTACTTAACACCCGGTACAAAGTCCCTCAAGTCTGCTGATCTTTCCCTGGTGTGTATGGATTTTTTGGCTGGGATTGGACCATGATTCCCCTATTGGCATACATGAGGATTACGATGGAACCAGAATCAGTCTTCAGAGATGTAATCCCCTTTTCCATACCTCTTATCTTAAAATAATGAGGAATGTAAACATTTTGACAGCATGAAATCATGATTTCGCTAGTTCGAAACTCCCCACAGATTTTATTTGAACCAGCTCCATTCACCTACTCCAAATCTTTTAGTACAGGAGTGTAATTATGGAATGCCCTGTCCGTTTGGCATACAAGGGTTACTGAGATAATCTATTGTTTTGAGTAGTACCTATTTATAGAGCATCTTTTCCTAGTAGCATTAAGATGTGTGTGTGTGTTTTAATTTAATTTTATTTTTTGGCAGCTAGATGCTGGAATTGCCAGATATATCCAGGAATTGTCAGCTTCCAGTGACTCCCAGGACCCAGAGGAGGTGAATCTTGGAATACTGCAAAACAACCCTATTTTAATCTTTGGACCAGTGTGCTCGATGTCTGTGGGAGAAGTGCTGGCGGGGGGAGGGGGGATGTTATGTAGTAGCCAGAAAGCATGGTGGTGACTGAAAACCCAAACTAGATGCTGAAAGGATTTCATTTTTGATTAGCCTGCTTTCCCTCCCTCAATGACAATTAGACTTGCAAAGAAAGCCTGTGTTTATCTTCCAGTGACTAAAAACAAAATAAGTCTCACTAACTGCAAATTATGTAGGCAAGACAAAATAATGTGGTATGACAGCCAGATAGCTTTTTATCACTTGGAATAGGACCTCTGTAAAAACGTGGTAAGTGTTCAGTTAGACCCTGGGTGGCTTCTGAACTGGAATAAATGTGCTTCCCTACTTCTTTATCAGAAAAAAGAGAGAAATTATCACACTAATAATCCACATTATCCTATAACCATCCCTACTACTTTTTGATGGTTATAGCAAGACAACTGGCATTGAAAACTCCCTTCTGGAGTTGATTTCTTCTACATGAAATGATGTTAAGCTACTAATATTGTTACCTTGGATGATTTGTTAGTACTTACTTTTTTTAAAAAAAAAGTCCACTTATAACTTGGTCAGAGGGCCATATAATTAATTCTACACAAAACAAAGATATGCCATACCAGTTCCTTTGTCCAGTTTATATGGTGGCCACTTGGTGAAAGGTTGCACTTACTTTCTCTGTTGTGAATCAGCTGAAGCTAAGAAGGGAACCTAAGAATCATGTACTGCAGAGTTCAGATTCTGAGTTATTTTAAGGTGGACTTAAGCCCACTGAGCTCTGCTTAGGCTAAAACTAGGAGTCTTGTAGTGCAGTGGTTAAATTGCAGTACTGTAATCAAGACACTGCTCATGACCCGAGTTTGATCCTGATGGGCTTAGTAGGGGGTCTGAGGTTGACTCAGCCTCCTATACCAGTGGTCTCCAACCTTGGGCCTCCAGATGTTCTTGGACTGCAACTCCCAGAAGCCTTCATCACCACCTCTGCTGGCCAGGATTTCTGGGAGCTGAAGTCCAAGAACATCTGGAGGCCCAAAGTTGGGGAACACTGTCCTATACAGTACTTCCAAGGTTGGTAAATTGACTACCCAGCTCATTGGCCAGGGGTGTGATAGGGCGCAATGCGTAGCCTGCATAATTAACGTGTAAACCAGTCAGAGAGTCCTATACAGTACTTCCAAGGTTGGTAAATTGACTACCCAGCTCATTGGCCAGGGGTGTGATAGGGCGCAATGCGTAGCCTGCATAATTAACGTGTAAACCAGTCGGAGAGTGCTTTAAGTGCCATGGGGTGGTATATAAGCAACACACCACTTTTTTTGCTTTTGTTTTATGCGCTGTACTTCAAAAGCTTCTTTCACTGCATGTGCATGCCATGTATGAATGCTAGTATCATATATTTCAGATGGTGGCCAGGCTGGTAGGTGGACTCTGCACATATATGAGTCAGTACATGGGGTTAAAACATGCCTGCCATGTCTTGCAATGATGTTGGCAGACATTTTACAGACTCAATACGGAGGTCATTGCCGTGTTCAAATTAAACTCCACAATGCCTGTGGATGAGAAATCTTTCACTCCACTTGACTTTTCCTGATCTTGATCTCGTTTTCCCTTTAGTGCATTACCCCTTTAATGAAGTTCTTGGAAAGTGAACTGCAGTACCTAAATGGGAACCTGGTTCAGGAGAACTTCAAGAGGTGAGCGAAGATGTTTGGCATTGCAGTAAAGTTCATTTTCTATATTGGACAGTGTGTGAAAGGAAGCAACAAGAAGAGAAAACGGTGTGCAGAAATGCCTTTCCACACAGCGAATGGGGGCCTGTTCTAATATCAGTTATAGTCTTCTCCTAAATTTAAAAGACAGTCTATACTCCTCCAGGCAAATGTGAAGTACAAAGGGAGGGGATAGGATTGCAGCTTGAGATTGATAAACAATCAATCAAGGAGTGCCTTACTACCTTAAATGAGTTCAAATCCCCAGGGCCAGATGAACTGCATCCAAGGATATTGAAGGAACCGGCTGAAAAGATTGCAGAGCCACTGTCTTTTATTTTCTTGAAAGCATGGAGGAGGGTTGCAGGACCAGATGAATGGAGGAAAGCTAATGTCCCGGTCATCAAAAAGGGCAAAAAGGAAGACTGGTCAGCCTGACATCAATCCCTTATAAAGCAGTCACTCTGCAAGCACCTTGAAAACAATGCAGTAATAACTTGAAGCCAACATGGATATGTCAAGAATAAACCCCTCTTGACTAATCAGTACACCATTGACTGATGGTAGACCATTGGTCTAGATGGGCGGGGTATAAATCTAATAAAATAAAATAATAAATAAATAAATAATCTGTCTCAATTTTTGATTGGGTAACTTCCCTGGTAGATGGGGGGGGGAGGAAATACTATAGGTGTAACATCTATTAATTTCAGTAAAGCCTTTAACAAAGTGCCCCGTGACATTCTGATTAGCAAGCTAATTAGGTCTGGGCTGGATATGAGCCAAAAGTGCAATGTAGCTGCAAAAAAGGCAAATTTGATTTTAGGCTGCATTAACAGAAATATAGTCTCCAAATCCCGTGAGGTACTAGTTCCCCTCTATTTGACACTGGTTAAGCCTCATCTAGAGCAGGGGTCCCCAACCCCTGGTCTGCGATCCAGCAGCGGTCCACGGCCTATGCTGGACCGGGCCGAATCTGGTGTAGCAAATGGGTGAGGCTTGAGGGAGGGTTAGTCAATCACCAGAATTTCAGAGCCTCTTGTGCAACTGTTTTTACTGTTATTCTGATCAGCTTTCAAAAACAGTTATATACAATATGACAGCGATTGAAATGTAATGGCCAAATCTCTTATTCTTTAATGACTAGTGTCACTATCACGTTGAAAACCTTGCTACTCTGTTTCTAGGTCTAGCGAAGTATATGTTATAGGTCAGTGACCCTTTTTTTGGTAGTACAGTGAGCAGCTGACCCTCTCCCCTTTTCAGCTGTACAGTTTTAATCCCCACTGGAATCCTATTGGAAACCAAGGGACAAAACCTTTGGGGAGGGGACATTGATGGTTTACACCAGGGGTTTTAAACTCAATTTACCTGGGGGCCGCTGGAGGCAGAGTCTCGGTGAGGCTGGGCCACATCAGATTTTCCGCCAAGCGGAGCAAGAGCCCGAGGAAGCAGCCCAGGAGTTTCCTTAGCCGACAGACAGGTGGGCTGCCTGACAGGCTGCAGTTCTGGATGGAGGGTGCAAGAGGTGCTGTCTTGCGAGAGAGCCGGCGGCCGAGGCAAGGCTTTTTTTTTTACTCTTGAGAGCAGAGGATGTGTGGGTGCTTTGGGGGGCAGGCATGGCGAGGGCCACAAACTATCATCTGGGGGGCCACAAATGGCCCCCGGGCCACATGTTTGAGACTTCTGGTTTAAACCCTCCACTTTCTTGACTATTGCAAGATTGTCTAGAACTTGCTGGCATCCAATGAACCTGCCTGGAGAGCGTCCTCCGTGCCAGTTTAGCCTCTATATCTTGCTGTTCCTTTTTTTCCTCCCTCTGCCTCGCCCTTAACAGTTTGCTGGAGCTTCTGTGGAATCGCACCCTGGACCTGCTGAAAGGGGCTACAAGACAGCAAGTTGGCAGCTTGAGGTACTTCAGGAAATTGCAGTTTGCCCTCCAGGTACTTCAGGGTATGACATGGAAGGGAGGGAAGAGGAGCTGGAGTTTTCTTGTGCTTCAGCCTCTTCCTGTCTTCTTCCCCACCTCCTTTTGACAGAGCCTGGAGCTGTGTTTCCATGCAGAGGGCTGGGGGCTGCCAAAGGACACCCTTCACACTCCAGCATTCATGGTAAGAGGCTGGAACCCCTGTGCTTCCCCCTCCCTGCCCCTGCCTTGTTGGGTGGGGAAGCCCCTCAGCAATGGCCAGGACCCGCTAGGCATGGATCGAATGTGAGTAATGATGGGTTTGTTCAAATCAATGGGGACCCACTTGTCCTTGCTGTGAAAACTGCCCCTTCCTCTCTCCTCTTGGCTGACCCAAAAATTAACAGCATTTGACAGACTCCTCGTGAATGTTGCCATCTTCAGAAGCTCTTTTTCACCCACAGCCGCATGATCCCCATTTGGGAGGGAGGAAAGAGTTTGCCAGTCCGGTCTTAGTTTTTAGCCGAAATTCGCCTACATTAGTGTAAAAAATAACCAGAGTGCTAAAAAGATACCTTAGGTGAATTTTTCAAGAGCCACAGCAGAGCCTTTAGAGTGGATGCCTTACAGGAGGGCATGAGTGTACAAAACCACACCAGAAGGGGCCCCTTCTAGTTTAAACAGTCCACTACAATTCCAAAAAGCCTTCAGTCTGGGGCCACCCTAATTGGAAAGCTTCCATTTGTGTTTCTCTCTTGCTGTTGTTTATTTGTTCTGCATTTATTTATTTACTGCGCTTCCAGGCTGCTTTTCTCCCAGCAATGGGATTCAAGGTGGCTCACAAACCATTAAAAGAGGCAAGCATTAAAATGACATAGGAAAAGCAATTAAAATTATTAAATGTTAAATCATTATGTAAAAACAAAATAATAAGCATAAAAGCATTTTAAAATCCATTTAAAATGAGGTATTGGCAGCAAACATAGGATCATGTTTTTTTGTTACTAGGTGTTAAGTTGGAACCAACTTATAGCAACCTTAAGTTTTCAATGAAAGTGAGATACAGTATTTAAGGACTGTTTTTACCATTACCATCTCCCAGTGAGTTTCTATGGCTGAGCAGGGAATGAGATCCAAGCCTCCTTAGTCCTAGTTCCTGCCTCTGTCCACTGCACTACACTGGCTATTTGTGTGCTTCTGTCTCTGCCTTTTGATGTCCATAGATCTATACCGGTACCCATAGATAGGCTCAATACCCAATGAGTCATATTTCTGCTCAAATCAATTCTCTCCTAGGTTCTGGAGAAAGAGCTAGACCTTTGCTCTTCCACCAGCAGAACCCTTATCCAGAAGTATTTCATTGCTCGAATCCAGCAGCAGGTATGAACTAGGTGGGCCTGTTTATGGAATGCAGCCCCACCCCTTTATTCTGCATTTTGTTCGCCTTAGCCCTTTGAGCATTTGTTAGGCTGCAGCCCTTGTGATGCCTTTGGGAGCCGCAGTCTCACCATGGTTGGAGAGCCACATGTTCCCCACCTCTGGTATAGGGCTGCCAGGACCATGAAGGGCCAGGGTACTTACAGGGCAGATAGCTTTTACCTGACTGTTCTTCTGTTTTCTCTTTCTACCTCTTAGATGGAAGCAACTCCTGAAAAATATGGGGCTGTGACCATTAAAGCAATGTATCGCCTTTCCGAACAGAAGCTACACATTGACGTGCTCAGTGCTATGAACCTCCTTCCCATGGATTCCAATGGTGAGAGAGCCTGCTGCGTTCAGGCACTTGACCCCTAATTCTGGATCATGCCTGACCAGCCCACTACCTTTCATTCATTTATTTGTATGCAGCCACATCCTGATGGAACTGGGCTTAGTTCAGAAGAAATTAGGAGACTAGCAAAGAAAGGAAGCAGGACAATTGACGACATATGGAAGGTCACATTCCAGTGGAACTGGGCTTAGTTCTGAAGAAATTAGGAGACTAGCAAAGAAAGGAAAAACAAAGATGACCTGGTTTTTCTCCCTTACAGTAGCTGCTGAGTTGGGGAGGGGGGTGTCTATGTTGTAAGATGTAGAGGGAATATCTTTGCTTAACTTGGTCCATTCGTCTCATGCAAGGACGGGTGGCGTTCCAGACAGTGACATTTTGTCACTTCTGAGTGGACTGGGAAATCATTGACAAAACTGCCTGCTGTTATGTAGTGTGTGGAATGAAAGCTGGGATACGGCTGCAAGGATCTTAGTGGCATCCGGTGTCGCTCTGGATGCAGAGCAAGGTTATCATCTCATCTCATCCCCTCCATGAGGAGAGAGGCTGAGTTACTCCCGCCTACTTCACGATGCCTAAACGCAGTGTGCTGTTCTTCCCAACAGAAGCGAATGACTGTAAATCACTGACATGGGACAAAGGTGTCAAGGCTAAACCTCTTCTCTGCTGCTGGTGACTCCAGCTCCTGAGAGACACGGCTGGTTTTGCCAGCATAACCCCTCCATTCTCTTTTGGGGCATGTTAAGCGCCAAGAAATGTTTCAACTCCGTAGATCAGGGTTTCATGCAGACCGACAGTCATCTATACAATCTACCACTGGTGCCATTCAAGAGCTGGGTTGTGTTCCAGTTCTTCCGTATATGTGGAAGTGTGTTGTACACACAGCACCTTGCTTTTTGAAGTATGAATAGTCTGAAGGGAAGTTTTGGGTGTGTGGCATCCTTATAACGCCAAGCACAGACTGTGTAATATACAATATAAAATGAAATAATTTTTGTTGCATTTTATATTATCTGTCGCACACACAGAGCCAGTGCTTAATGCTCTGCATGTGTTCGAGTTAAGTTATATCTAACAGGCATGGATTGAGAGCCCTAATAATCGGAAGGCACAGTCTAGCCTGTAGTTCACATAGTTGTTCAGGAGAGGCTGCTGTTGCCTCACTGGATTGCTCTTGAATCTTTGAAGAAATGGTGACTCTGGACGTAAATCTTCATACAGTACTAGGCTAGGCTTCTGGACTCCTTTAAGAAGCTACTGCCTTCAGCACTGTGTTGTGCTCAGGACTTGGACTTGATAAATGAAGATTTTTATAAAGCTGAGGAAAAGAAAAGACGGTGGTCTAGTTCGATACTAAGGTAGTGCTCGAAGATTTTTATAAAGCTGAGGAAAAGAGGGTGGTCTAGTTCGATACTAAGGTAGTGCTAGATCATAAGATGACAGAGATGTTTCTTGACATGAAAATGATCTGAAGTTCAGTCTGTGGCATCTCCAGTTTAACATGCTTTCTGTCAGCACGACCGCAAAGGACACTCTCCTTTACATGTGAGGGGACCATTGCTCACCACTAGATCAGAAAATATAATGTGGTGACTCAACAAAAGGAAACATCCTCTATTGTAACTAGAAGGCTGATGTTTAAGTATCAAATTTGATATTAAGGGAAGTATGATTTCATTCTTACAAGCCTCTTTGTTTCCTTTGCACAGTCCGATTTCCTCATTTGCGATCTAGCTTGCAAATCAATTACTGTTTATTCTCTAGTTACCAGTGGCTACAAGCAGGCAGGCCGGAAGGCAAGCTATAGAAGTGAGGTAAAGCATGCAGTAGGACAAGCAGATGTCTTTCATACTTGAAAGAGCATGTCTTATAGGTCTGAGCCAAGTTTATCATTCAGTTGACCCCGAGTGTCAGTAATCTTAAGAATTTGCTTATGGAAGGGTTTGCAAGTGTTGGTTGTTCTTGAGCTCAGCTCACAATATGCAGCAAGGAAGTAGGGCTAAGCATTTCACAGCGGAAATGGGCACGATAGAAAAGTTAGATGTTGTAGCAGCCTTGGGCATTGCAGAATTCTGTTAGTGGAAATGAGCACGATAGAAAAGTTAGATGTTGCAGCCTTGGGCATTGCAGAATTCTGTTAGCTAGCCTCCTAAAGGTTGCTTATACCAGAGGACTGAGGAAGAAGTGCTCAAAGGCAGGCTCGTATATTCCAGTTGTTTCCTTGGTTCTTCCAACCTCCCACATCCTCTCTTCTTCAGGCTCAAGTGATCCCTTCATCCAGCTAACTCTGGAACCACGGCATGAGTTTCCTGAGGTTGTGGCACGGACAACACAGTGCATCAAGAACACTCTCCACCCACTGTTTGATGAAGTTTTCGAATTGTATGTGTGAACAGCTGGTCTTCTTTCTATTCTTCAGCCCCTCCCCAGGGTTGGCATAGTTTTGATGAACAGCATGAGCCGTGCTCATTAGGTTTGGCCACACTTTTCCATCACTGACGTGGCCTGGGAGTCGCTGATATAACATGTAGGAATTGCCTCGTAGGCTGGAGCTTCCACCATGTTGTAGCTTTTCTCATGCACTTTGGAATGCTTCTCATGTGATGCCTGTGCAGTGGTAGCATAATTCAGTTCCCATATTTCTCATTACAGTTTGGTCCCGCCAGATAAATGCCAACAAAATGGGGCCTGCCTGATGCTCACAGTATTTGACTATGACACCTTAGGAGCCAATGATCTGGAAGGAGAAGCCTTCCTCCCCCTCTGCAATGTGCCGGGACTACATGAGAATGAGGAAACTATCAACCCATTTGGCGTGCCACAGACCCGTTTACCTTTGACTCATCCTGGAAGTACTGGTAACTCTCTTGTTTGTCCTTTCTCAGTCAAGCTCATTCTCAAAATCCCTGCTGTTCTTTGGCAGAGAGAATTATGGACCAGGAACTATCCCCAATGACCATCTTTCAGAAGACAAAATTGGGAAAATCTGCTGTTTACTCTCTAAAGCACTGGTTCTTAACCTTTGTTACTCAGATGTTTTTGGACTGCAACTCCCAGAAGCCTTCACCATCAGTTCTGCTGGCTGAGGTTTCTGGGAGCTGCAGTTCAAAAACACCTGAGTAACAAAGGTTAAGAACCACTGCTCTAAAGTATACTAGACTGTTAAGTGTGTGAGAATACTCAGCATGTCAACTGCATGGTAACCCAGAGGTGTTCTTGGGACTGCAATTCCCAGAATCCTTCACCCCCAGCTGTGCCAGCTGGGGGTTCTGGGAGTTGCAGCCCAAGAACACCTCTGGGTTACCCAAGGTTGAGAACCATGGACCTAATTGGAACAGAGCAAGAAATTAAGTCTGTGTGGACAGGGTTATATTTCAGAGCAGAAGGAGAACTGTAGCACTTCTGCTATTTTTGGGCCACTACTCCCACAGTCCCTCACTACTAGCCATGCTGATGGGAATGGTAGACCAAAAACACTGGGAGGATCTACCCTATGCTAGATATTACTGTTTTAAAATAATTTCTCAAGGCTCTAGTCCTTATAACTGGTGAATGTTCTAGATCCCATTTCCCTTAGGCAAAGGGGAAATGCTGCAGGTATTGCCTCTTACAGTGCCTTTAAAGAAAATAGAATGGCATGTATTTTAATTCCTAATGTTGGAGAGGGAATAGCCTTGGGTCACTTCTTTTCCTCTGGAAGAAGCAATTAATAATAATTCAGAAGCAGATTTCATAATTCATTATTTTTGGTTAAACTCCAGTTATGCTCACAATGCTCTACTGATGTTGCCTGTTAAGGTTTTTGAGGCATTTCTTTACATTGTGGATGATCATGTCTGCTCATCTCTCTGGGCCTTTGGGCCACTTCTCTTCCTCATTATTTTGGGTTAAACTCCAGTTATGCTAACAATGCTCTACTCATGTTGCCTGTTAAGGTTTCTGAGGCATTTCTTCACATTGTAGATGATCATGTCTGCTCATCTCTCTGGGCTCAGAAAGTTAGCTATGGTTTTATTGCAATGCTCCATTTCTGAGAAAGGAGAACAGACTTTTTCATGAAATGGCTGAAACCTGTTTCAGCTTTTGTGGAAAGAAGGCTGAGTAAAGGTTTGACTTTACGTACAGCACTTGATTGGAAGCAGACCCATATTAAACAGAGGCCATTTTTTAAAAGGGGATACAATTATGATGAAATTATTTCAAACGGCAGGTTGTGAAGCCTTTTGACTTTCTTAGCTCTAGGGTCACAGGGGCTGGTCTTTGCCCACTGGGAGCTTCTGGATTTACCTGAACCTCAAAGGACCATCCTAACCCTTTGTCCTGCTCAACAATTCCAAACAGTTCAAACTGCAAGATGGGCAATAACATCACACCCTGTCTATTCTCTGTAATGAAATTTCCTCCTCTTGATTGCCTGTAAAGCTGCTTCCATAGCAACCCTTCAGCTAGGGAGACCATTAGAGTCACCGAAGGGAGTTGGCAAGAGGTGCTTAGCGCTAGAAGAAGATTTGAGAACAGCTGTTTCTTTATCTGCTTTGTCCACCAGGGCCCATCCATCGTTTAGACTGCAGGCCTTAGTTGTGAACTTTTCACATACAGGCATACCTTGGTCTACAGGACGTTATGTAATGCAAAAATTTCATAAACTGAAGTGCGGATTGCCATAGGAACAGGCACAATGCATCCTGGCACAATAAACCTCCAGGCACAATGCATCCTGGGGAAACTTGCTTCGTACTGTGAAAAAAAACCCACGTAAACCGAGGCATTATTTTCAATGGATTTTCCTTCGTAAACCAAGAATTACATTAACCAAGGCATTCGTAAACTGAGGTACCACTGTAGCTTGTTTCATCTTGAAGTCCCGGGGTTTTCCATCAGATACCTTTGGGCTTTTTTGTAAGTTGAAGCCATTTCTCCCCCCAGCCCCCCCCCCCGCCGATAATCAAACCCACAGATTTGTATCTTTTTTCTTCTTGACCTCTTTTTAGGATGTCTGGAGAATAGCTGTCAAAGCGATGCTCTGAGAAACAAAGGGCTCCTAAGTGCTATAAATCAAAAGGCATTGTACAACTATTCTTTTCCCCCTCCTTAATTTTTTTCCTAAAAGGAAAAAAAAGTGATGGGAGGGGGATAAACACAGCGGATAAGAACGAGACACCTCCCCCCCCCCACTATGATGCCTCAACCACAGCTTTGTCTGAAGGTAACCTAAGACTCCACGAGGGCAGTAATCAATGATGTTTGGAATGGCGGAAGAGTGAACGGATGTTGAACATGACAAGAAAACTAGAGATTTTCAGTTCTTCCCTTTTGTTCCAGGCAATGACATCCTGAAGCTGCTGGAGACCCGAAAAGGAGACAAGGAAGCCCAGGCCTTTGTGAAGCTCCGCCGGCAACGGGCCAAACAGTCCAAGGAGATGGCATGAGGGCAGCCAAGCAAGAGGGATTTTAAAAAGCAAGGGTTTGGCTGAGGGGCAGCACTACTAGGCGCTACCATGGCAATAGCCAATCACACACTTTGGGAGCAGGAAGCCATTTTAGGCGGTGTGGATATTTGTATTGGGAGGTTTTGATGCAACCGACATGGGGCATTCGGGGCAGGCCCAGCAGCTCTTTGTCTGTGTCAGCCAAAGAGCAGCAGTCCGCAGAAGGGCTCAGTTGTGTTTGGATGAATGTTGGCTCTGTTTCCACACAAGGGGGCTAGGAGAAAAGAGCTGTGCTCCCTTTCCTCCCCAGCGCTTTTATTTTTTTTTGTTTGCAGCAGAATTTTGAAATAAATGAAATCATAGTACTATCAGGAGATCCTACAGGCTCTGAAAAGTTGTATCTTTGCCCTCCATTTTTGGAAAACGCTGATAAACAGGCACATGTGCATGCATGCACATGCACATGCACACGCACAAACACACACACACAACTGATAAACAGGCGCACGCACACACGCACGCACACACCACAAGAGTCTGCTTGACTAGCGAAGCTTGTAATGAGCCCCTAGAGTCTGTTTGACTAGCGAAGCTTGTAATGAGCCCCTAGTGGCTTTCCTTCAGGAAATTCTTTATTCTGCTCTCCAGATGGCATGGAAAGCAGGCAGTCCTGGTACACCAGGATGCCAAAGGGGAAACATAAGCTTTCGCTAGGAAAGAAATCAGATATATCCAGCAATCTCCTGCTTCAGAGACTGGCAATTCCATCCGATTCAGGACAATTGACTTAAAATGGAATTAAATAGAAGAACGGCTGGCAATACACCACACTGTGGTGGAACTTCATGCCCATCCATCCAGCTCCAAAGATCATTTTTTAAAAAATGGAAAACAAGTCACAAATGTTGCTGGAGAGTGAGAAATCTTGAGGTTTAAAAGTCGGGGGCAATTTCATTGGTGACAAAGTTGGAGAGGAATCTTATTTCTAGCAACACGTGTTCTTCTTACACCTGTGTGTCGTACTTGGGTGTAAAAAGCTGCAAGGCCTTTAAATGACTTGCATTATAAAGCCAGAATTTCAAAGGGCACTGAAATATCACCTGTGCCTATATATGTATTCCTTCTGTGAACACAAACCTCTGGTCAACTTGGGAGTCTTAACCTTCCCCATGATGAAATATAATTGTCCATTTTAGAAAGGAGACAGACAGAACTGGTCTGGTAGCATTCCTTCAGTGTCTTAAAATGTGGGTGTCATTTCTTTTGCTTAGCCTGGTAGTGCTGTTTCCTGTGGTAAAAAAAGAGGTACGGCATAAGCCACATTCATAGCCCAAGCTTCCAGCTTCTACACAGACTGAGATAAGGAGGTTGCCTGTTCAATGGGGTAGTGCGCATTGTTGTTCTGAGCATGAAAATTCAGGTCTGTGACGACATGGTCAAATACCGCGGGATTTGCTCTGCTTATAAAATATATGAATTTGAAGTATTTTTTACTGACAACATGATGCAAAGGCTATTTCAAATCAGACCAGGTTTTTTTTGCTCCTAAAGTGGCTTTTTCCCTTTGCTGCTGAGGGGGCTTCTACTTTTTAAAGCCACAATGATTCGAATGGGCATTTTCCCATGTGGTTAGTTGTGATATGTTCTTATGAATATTATGTAAGGCGAAGGCATGCTATTTCTGTTACAGTAGCAGCTGAAAGTTAACAGTATCAGAAAAACCTAACCTAGACCCCAGTGTTATGGAGCACCAAGGCTTAATGCGAGCAGAAGCATTTCCTGCCAAATGTAGGGAAAGCTTTTCCTCCATGAAGGCCAGCAAAGGATTTTCAAACATTTATATAGCAGACAACATGCTTTTTCCTCTAGTGCACTTTGCTAGAGAAGGAACCATCTTGTGGAATGGCTCAATGGCAAGAGCAGAAATAGATACAGTAAAAGGTACAGGAGAAGAGCTTAGGTTTCATTAAATATGAGGAAGAACTTCCTGACAGTTAAGAGCTGTTTGACAGGGCAACAGATTCCTTTCCGAAGTGGTGGATTCTCCTTCACTGGAGGTTTTTTTTTTAAACAGAGGTTGGACAGCCAGCTGTTAGGGAGACTTTAATTGTAGTTTCCCTATTTCTGCAGTGTAGGGCTTGAGATTCCTTGGGTCCCTTACAGATGTATGATTCTATGAAGCTATGCTGAATAGAACTTGTAAGGCTATCTAGTCTCCACATAATAGTGTTCCATCCAGTTGATTTGAACTCTTAATAATGCCCTTATGTAGCATCATTTCACTTCAGCACACAGCATTGCCCTCTTAATTGTGCCACCAATCATCATGATGATAAGAACTACTTCCTAATCAGTTATTACTAGTTAAGAGCTTCCTGGTGTATGTATCAGTTTGCATTAATGTGCCATTTCTCAGAAAATGCTTAGGTTTTCACAGCTCTAACATGGCCTTCCATCACGACTAGCAGCCTGGCAGCAGAACATTTAGCATAGGCCTCATTTGTATTCGTTAGCAGAGCATACAACTCAACTTTTTTCTCCCTATGAAAGTGGCATGTTTACTGTAATTCCATCTGCTGTGCCTTGCTATCACCAGTTACCACACTATGAATGGACCCAAACTTTTTGCCTTTGCTTCCTGAGTTAAGCATTACTGGGAATTTTTCTTTTTTACAAAATCTTTATGGATGTCCGTATAGATGACGGCTACACTCAAAGATGTTTAAGATACTGACGAGGCAGGGCTTTTTTCCCCCCAGAAGCCATGCTAAAACTGACACAAGATCGGTTATTCTCTGTATCAAACACTTTTCGCTTGAAGTACCCTATCACTTCACTTTGGATAATTGTTACCATAACAGAGCTCTTAATTTTCCAGCTCTTCTGAAGGATTAGTGTGGCTATCTTCCAATCTGCTAACACAGAATTCATTTTAGGAACAAACTGCGTATTTGGGTGAGATCAACAATTTCACACTTTTCTCTCAAGACTTTTGCTTGTTTCCAACCAAAATTGGTGAGTTCAATTAATCCATTTGCCCTCCAACTACATCTTTCAATACCTCTGTTTGGGCTGATTCTTCTACCCAGGAAAAAGCCATTCAGATACAGGAATCTATCCAGTATCTTCTGCAATGTGCAAGGGCACAAAGACTGTGTAGGAGTAGGACAGGTGCTGTTTCTAACATAGTGGTATCTTGGATGCAGTTCAGCAAGAAAAAAAGATGGCCATTAAGCCGCGTGAGATGCATTGTTTTTGCCAGCAATGTAGGTCTTCTCTTGTTGTAAGGCCTGTTCACACATATAAATGAACTTGAGTAGGACAATATTGTAAACTAATTTTTAAAATCCCTCTTCAAAAGGCTTTTCAATATTTACCCATTCAGTTGTGTAGAATTAAAGAGATACACTTGTATCAGTGCCGTATCAAAAAGCATCCAAGTGTCTCAAAGTAAGAGATTCTCCCTCAAGCTCTCCAAATTTGAGTGGGTAAAGTACACCCTGTTGGCTGCACAGTCTCCAATGTTGTTTTTGTGGGAACTCCAGCCTATATGACATGTAGAGATGAAATAAAAATGAAAAGAAAAAAATGTGGCGTATGTTTGTGTGTGTGTTTTTTCCTGCTTCTAGAATTATTCAGAAGCAGCAGTTTTTGCAGAAAAGGCTTTGCAGGATTCTTAGTCCCCAACACATTATTTAAACACCCCTTCCCATTTGTTGTTGTTGTGTATTGCCAAGTCTACTTTGGACTTATGGAAAACTTGCAGTAGGGCTTTTTGAGGTATGTAAGATGTTCAAGAAGAGTGGGTTATCACTGGCACCCCCCCAGGTAGTTCCCATGGCCAAGTGGGGTTTTGAACCCAGGTCTCCCGTGTCTTTGTCTGATACACCACAGTGAATGTCACTCCCATAATGGGCCTTGGTTGGTAGGCAAGACAGAAGTTGTGGGAATGGAGAACACAAAAAGTACCTTTCTTGCTCAGTTCCCTTCCTTCCTTGGGATCTTTCAGCACCTTCTAGAGAGGCATAGCAGGAATTCAACACCGAGGACACTGGAGTCCTAATTCAAATTCTTCAGAGAAAGCTGGCATTATGTGGCTCTTGCAGCATAATCTTCAGGCCCCTTGATTGAGTGAACTGTCTTGGCTCTTCTATACAAGATACAGGCATCTGTGCCCTTTTTGCTGGTGGTGTTCTGCACCTCCCAGTTTGGTCACTTGTGTGGCAAAAAAGGCATTCAAAGCAAGGCCATCATCTGCCAACTCTAAATTACTTCTCTGCCTAAAGTAGAGAATGGTACAGAACAGTTTTGCATTTGTTGTTCCAACACTGGAGGCATTAAAGAGGAATTTAGACAACCACCTGGCAAATCTCCTTTGATTATATTCCTGCATTGAGCAGGGGGTTGGACTTGATGGCCTTAGAGGCCCCTTCCAACTTCCCTATTCTATGGGTACTATGATTTCAAGATATTTTTATAGCTTGCAACTCCAATTAACTTCAGTCTAAGACTGTCACCTTGCTGAGGCAACTCCTCTGAAGCAGCCATATCATTTTCTCACTAAAAAGCAAGCACAGCCATTTTAGCCATGGTCTTCTCTGTCTCCTTGCAATCTGGGATGTAGGAATATTACACATCTCATTATGAGGACAAGATATGACAATCAACCTCACATCTAAAAATAACACAAAATACTACCACTCCACCTGCAACCTTTTTGTGTAATAGTTCCATAACATGTGAAATAGCCCTTATGTCTAGTCTCCAAATGCCAGTAGTTCTTCCTTTTTATTGTTCTCTTGAGCCTGACATATTTTGACCCTGTATTACTTTCAGGGCCTTTCTCAGAAACTACAGTGAAATAGCAAAATATATTTTAACATATAACTAGAAGTATAAACCTCATTAACATACAATGAACTTATCATCATATTCATCATCATTTTGGAACTGCACAGATGGAAGGGACCCTGTGGATCGTTGAGTCCAGCCTCTGTCAAGGAGGCAAAGTGGGGAATTGAATGTACCTAACACTTACTTTATAATAATATTTGAAACAAATGAATATTAATCAAAATATATAATACTTACAATCCCATTAAAATCCAATAGTAGAGAATCAAGCAGTTGCAGGTTATATTCTAATATAGTGAAAATAACAGATGTTATTGCAATAGTCATAATTAACACCTTCATGGAATGTCTCTAAGTAATTATCCCATACTAAATTTGCTATAAATTCAAGAATCTAACCTAGGGCATATCTCTAAATTAAATCCTTACTAGATTTCAGCAGTTCATTACAGAAAAGGAAGTCAATGGCCTAATTGCAGAGCTAAATACTGACATCTAAAAATCCACTCCTTTTTTCAAAATGACTT